AGCCCTGCCTGGACCATCTCCATTTCTAAGGCCTCTGACTTTGCACACCCGCCAAAACACCCAGGTCCATGCCACAGTCCATCTCCGAAGGAAAACACAAGAGAGTGCCTTAGGATCTGCTTTCTGGGGCAGCTGTTAGACCTCAGATTTCTGCATAAGATGGACACTGAATCTTTATCAGGAGATAGACATTTTTTAAAAAGTATGTGATCCCTTTGTAAGATCTGTTGTAGAAATCAATTTAATACCACAGTGCCACAGCCCATCTCCTACCACGAGGAGTGGAAAAACAACTATAATTGTACTCCCATGTTTCCCGGTCTCCAGCCTTTTTGTGCTTAATTCTTGAAGCAGTGGGTGTGGAGAAAAAACAAAGGAATCTGAAACTGGTTCAAACTCAGACCAAGCTCTGTACTTAATTCTTGAGGGCTCAAACATTAAGTAGCTTTTACAGAGCCCTGTTCTAGACACTGGAGGAAGGAGGAAGACAGGAGAGGATCAGAGGAGATGTTTAGCCCTTTAACATATAAGGCTTTTAGTAAGTACTAAGTCCCTCCCTCCCTCAGGGCCTTTAGTAGGGCTCTTGCAGCTCTCCTAGAGACCATCCTGTCCACAGCCTCAGCCTTTCTCACCTTTTGCCTTCATCACTGCAGTAGCTCCTTAAGACTGCTTGTTTCCAGTTTCACTTCTCCAGCCTAGCCTCCCCACAACACCTGTGGTTTAAGGCACACTGGCTCACGCCTGTAATCCTAGCACTCTGGGAGGCACAGGAGAGTGGATTACCTGAGTTTGCGAGTTCCAGACCAGACTGAGCCAGAGCAAGACCTGGTCTCTAAAAATAGCCAGGCATCATGGCAGGTGCCTGTACCCCTAGCTACTTGGGAGGCTAAGGCAAGTGAATCGCTTAAGTCCAAGAGTTTGAGGTTGCTGTGAGCTGTTGCCATGGCATTCTACCAAGGGCAACAAGGCAAGACTTTGTCTCAAAAAAAAAAAAAAAAAAAAAAAAAAAAAAAAAAAAAACTGGTGGTTAAAAAAAAAAAGTCTAGGCAGGAAAGCCAGGAGATCTGGATCCTAAGCCTAAGGATGAAATCTGATTCCTTAGTAGCAAATGCCTTCCAGGTGAGGGCTCCCTCTTCCTGTGGCATTTCCCTTTCTCCAACCATCCCTCTCAAGGTTATCTTCTCCTCAACTCTGCACCTTTGCTGATTCTTCTGCCTAGAAAGCCTTCCCTTTAACCACATGCCCTTTACTATTCTTCCTGTGAGGCTGGCCACCAAAACTACCATCTTCTGCCGGCCAGACATTCTACTGGGTGCTGAGTGTACAGGACTGATCAAAAGCAGGCTAGTCCCCAGGGCACTCAGAGAGGACAGCCCTCAGTAACTCCACACTGAGCAAAAATAGGTCCACCCTACGACCATCTGTGACACCATGAAACAAAGCAGTGAGTCCTAGACCTGAGGGTCAGAGAGCCTTCCCTGAGGAATGGAAGCAACCTAGACTGAGACTCTAGAAGCTTAGATGTAACTAAAGGGGCAAGAAGTAGAGGCTAGGATGGCCTTCCACACAGGACAATGTGTGTGGAACAATGTGTGTTCTGTGTGGGACAGAACTGATAATTTGGAGGAGGGGGGAGTGCAACTGTAGTCACAAAAAAAAGTATGGGGCCTGCCAGAGCCAGTCACATAGATTCTGCAGAGCTACAATAAAGATTTTAGTCATATGTTAAGGTGCTGCAGGACTTTAGATGGCAGGCAGCATAGCCCTTACTTTGTATTCAGGTGACAACCTGCCCCATCCCCACATCTCCACCTGGCCATGGTCCTGGAGAAAAGGCCATGGATCTCTGGCAGGAAGCCTGCGAGGCTCTTTCCAACTGTAACCCATTCCAGAAAAGAAATGGTGAGACCGACTTTCTTAGAAAAGCCTCTTCAGTTTCTCTTTGGGATCCTTACCTTATGTAGAATAGAAGTAGTACCCGTGGGGACCCAGATGTGGGAGAAAAGGGGCCAGGTGATGAGACCCCCCCCCCCAACTCCAGCCTGCAGCTCCGGGCCCAGCCAGAAGCGTCCTGCCAACAGGGGCCCGCCTCCGAGTCCAAAAAGCCGGGAAAAGTCTGCAACAGGCTTCCTACCTTAGAGAGGCTGGAGAGAAGACTCCTGGGTGAGAAAGGAGGGGAAGGCCCAGGGGCTTCTCGCCAGTAGCACTGCTGGAAGACAGGCAGGGGTCCCTTTGTGGGCCGAGTCAGCGCACCCGCTTCCCCGGCCACGCGCCAGTGCCTGTGCTGGGAGCCGTGGTACCCCCGAGGGAGGCAGGCGAGGAAGGGGCTCAACGCCAGCTGGGCGCCGAGAGGAAAGACGGCCGCTCCACCCCAAGCTTACACCTGAAGTCTGCGCGGTGTCCGGGAGTCTCCCTCCTCGGCTCAGGAGTGTCTTTCACCCGCCATTGTGGCCCGCAGGCATTACCGTGGGGCGGGGGTGGAAGACGTAGGCGAAAAACACACGGGAAAGCCCTATCCTGCAGGGTCTGGCCGTGGGAAAGTCCGACCTGTATTCCATTTCTTTTTCCTCGGGCTGGCCTTGCCATGGAGGTCTAGGTGGGCTCCAGGACAAAACCCCAATCCCCCTCAGCCTGACAGGAGGGCCGCCAGATTCTGATTGGGCTGTCAGAATCCGGCCTTTCAGGGTAAGGGTCGGGCGCCGGGACAGTCCGGCTGGAGCTAGCGGCGCTTTCCAGGGTCTAGGTCTCGCGAGGCGGGGCGGGGCCAGGCGGGGTCCCGGGGGAGGGCGCCCACTGAGGGGCACCGGGCTGGCATGGAACCCTTGGCTTCCGGAAAGGGCACCTCTGCTGCAGAAAGGTCCCATCCTTGAGCGTGCGGGAGGGTGCTGCAAGTGGGCTTGCGCTAAACCTGGGTTCCCAGCCGTAGCTCGGAGATACTGATTCCACTGGGCTCCCCTTTCAACGTTCAAGGGACAGATAGCTGAAAGAGGGTTCTTTAAAGGGGGAAATGTAACTGGGTGACTGTTCATGTCATCGGGGGTGGAGGAACTGTGTGCTCTTTAACGGAGACTGGAAATCCTCGGCGTTTATAGGCCGCTAGCCAGGGGAGCCCTCGTATACCTATTCTCAGTCGCTCACTTCTCGGTTTGTGCAAAGCGCCCAGCTCGGCGCCAGCCTGACCCGAGTCGGGATGGATGGAAGCAGGGGTCTTCCATGATCAGCGGAGAAACAAAATATTAGTACTTGGGTCGAGGTAGAGTTCTTTTTGGGGTAACAGAAAAAGATAATCAGTCGGGTGTGCCACGGAGGAGGCGAGGTGCAAGCCTGGGCGCTAGGAGGTCCTGCGAACCACAAACGAGCCTGCGGGGGGGGGGGGGGGGGGGGGAGGGAGGGGAAGCAGGGAGTTGCGCTGCGTCTCAAGGGAGAGAGCCTAGCCTTTGAGAGTTGGCCGCAGCTTTGCCTGACTTCTGCCTTCCTGCCAGCAAGATCCTTTCCCAAGCCTTAAAGGCCGCATCAACTGCGGCCACTGCGTATCACACTGCTTGGTCCTCAGCTCCTCCCATGCTCCAGCTCAGGACCTTTGCACCAACTCATCCCTCTGACTGAAATTTTCTTCTCCCATACAACCTTCCTCCAACCAGAGCATTAGTCTCCCACATACCTACAGGTCTGTCTCTCCAATTTTTCCCCAGCCATAGGATGTAAACTGCAAACAAAACAAACCAGAGGCCCCTCTGCCTTGTTCACCCTTGTATCCCCAATACCTAAAACAGGGCCTCATATCCAGTAGGTACTAAGGTCCACAATATTTATTATGCCAGACGTTGTTCTGAGCACTTTACCCATTTACTCCTTTACTTTCCACACCACCATGTGATGTAAGAATAATTATTTCCAATCTCATTTTACAAATGAGAAACATGTGTGAACTAAAGTTAATACATGTGTGAACTAAAATAAAATCTTAAGGCTCTGCCCCCAGCGGCCTGGCCAGGGGAATCCCCCAAATGTGAGTTGCTAGTCATGAAAAAGGAGATCAGACATGCCTCATCATATTTCTCTCCTAATTAGAGATGTTCTTTGTGCTGTGCAAAGACATATGTCCTGATCTTCATATACATAACAAACCACTTAAGTGTGGGCATGAGGCCAGGCATAAGTCCAGTAGTTTGTCTCTGATTAACTGACCCTTAGCTTAACTCAAGCATTCCTTTTTGCTGACTCCTGGTCCTTTCAGCCAAAGGTAAGGTGACCAGATTTTAACATTGGTAAAGCGGGACCCCATTATCGGGGGTGGGGGTGGGGGGTGGAGGGGGTGGTGTGTGTTCTTAATTAAAAATTTGGTCTATATGGAGCAACAAAAATTTTCATAGAACGCAAAAATAGTATTGTAATATATATATTTTTAATTTCAACATAAGTACAACTTACAAATATAATACATTAAAAAAAATTATTCATAGGGCAGGGCCTGTGGCTCAAAGGAGTAGGGCGCCGGTCCACCTGGGCGACCTTGCCCAGGAGGGGAGTAGGGAGTTTACATTAGCCTTTTCATTTCCAAATGAAGTTACATTGACCTCTTTATTCCCAAATGGAGTTACATTAACCTTTTCAGCAGCCGAAAACCGTATATTCCCTTCCCGTTGTGCTGCTGTTCCCTAGCTTGTTGTGCATTCTTTCCAAAAATCGGGACTTTTTTTTAAAACGCCGTGGGACAAATTGTTAAAAATCCGGACTGTCCCGCCAAAACTGGGACATCTGGTCACCTTAATCTTTCCGAGAATGTAAGCTTCACCTCTTTTGCTCCTTCTACATCACGCTCTAAATCATCGTCTGAGGAGGATTTGTAAATACTCCAACGTACTCGTTTCGTAATGTATTTGTACAGTGCTACCAAATCATATTGCGTGGCGGAAGGGACCACAACGTCACGCAGTCTCACCTGGCTCTTTGCACTAAGGGCGCCGCCATTTTGAGCAGAAGTGTATCATGGGAATCGCCATTTTACTTGGGCGGGCGGGTGTTTCCGGTTCCTGCGGGGGATCGCTCTTTCTTTTTCTTCTTAGTACCTCGGCTGGAGTGGTCGTGGTGCTTGTCTCTTTGAGCTATCTGTTGCCATCCTCGTCGCTGAGGCGACACTCGCACCCACCGCCACCATGACTGAGCAGATGACCCTTCGTGGCACCCTCAAGGGCCACAATGGGTGGGTAACCCAGATCGCTACTACCCCGCAATTCCCGGACATGATACTGTCCGCCTCTCGAGGTACGGGCTAGGGTGCGGGACAGATTTGGGAGGTAAGGGTTAACGCGTGTGTCGCGTGGCTGGGCCTGGAACGCGCGAGTTGGTGAATCACATTGCAGATGAGGACGCTGAGCCATAAATCAACCTGTAACTGCTGGGAGGATTAGAGAAGTGGGGGCTTTTTTATTTATTTCTTGCCTGTCGTTCCGCAGATGTAACTGTGGGGGGACTTGTGGGCCGGGCGGAGCGGTGATGACCCTAACATGCCATCTGATTGCCCGTGCTGAAATCCAGAGGCTGTTTCTGAGCTGCCGCCCGGTTCTCAGCTTGGTGGGATGTGGGTGGACTTCATGGGGCCTCTGGACTCTCCTCTGGGCCTGCCCTTCCTACCCTCGGTTCTCTCATTCCCTGTGTACCTGACTGCGTCTGGAGGTTTGCTTCCACACTATTTAAAATTGTCCGACACTGGGATCATGTCTGGCTCTTACTCATAAAACTGGAGTGTGGCACGTTTACTGTATCCAATCCTGTAGTGCATAAAGTGACTTTTCTAGCATTAATTACTCGGTTTCTGTCACCCCTCAGAAGTAGTCACAGGAGGCCCTCAAATAATTACTGAATTAGTCTGAGTCTTAGGAAAGAGTATCTATGCTCTCTGGTACCTGAGTTAAATTCTCAGGGTATGGTTTAGCTCTACTTACGGTTTTATTCTGGATAGTGAGTCACTCGGTCTTTGCCTAGTAACTGCTCTTGTAGCCTCCTGTTCCGGCTCTCTTAGGGTCCTTAATTTGTTTTCTTTGTTGACCCATTCACTATGACCTTGACGTCCTCACTAACCTGGTAGGTTAGTTAATGGATTACAGGGTTCCTCATTTGTTTTCCTTTTGTGTTTTACCTGTACGTAGATAAGACCATCATCATGTGGAAGCTGACCAGAGATGAGACTAACTATGGCATCCCGCAGCGTGCTCTCCGGGGCCACTCCCACTTTGTTAGTGATGTGGTCATCTCCTCAGATGGCCAGTTTGCACTCTCAGGCTCCTGGGATGGAACCCTGCGCCTCTGGGACCTCACAACGCAAGTAGCTGCTCATTTGTTCTGGGGAAGTGGGAGAAACCTGGGCAGAAAGGAGGCAGATGGGGTGCCCAGGGGAAATGGGGTCTATCCCAGACTATGAAGCCAAAGCACCTACAGAAGGTAGGTGTGGCTGTTGGGTCTCCTTCCTTTTTCTAGTAACTCCTTTATTTAGTGACTTGGAATTGTTGTGAGGAGCAGTCTGGTTGAACATTTTTGCCAGATGCAGTAGTTTGAATGTTTTGAGAGTTCTGTTCTGGATGGGCAATTGGCAGGTGGAATAGAGGGTCCTGGTGATGACAGATGACATTGTCAGCCAACCCCCACGTGGGAGTGAGGACATGTCCTGCAATTCTGAAGGGATTCTCTGGCATCCTAAGGGCTTGCTGTGATCAGAGTCACTTCCCTGGGTCTTATGAGTGATGCAGTGTGACTGGGACTAGGTCAGGAAAATGATCTTACAAGAAAGTGTTTGTAAAGTCTGTCTGGAGAATGACCAGGTCCTTCTTCTCAGGGGCACCACCACAAGACGATTTGTAGGCCATACAAAGGATGTGCTAAGTGTGGCCTTCTCCTCTGACAACCGGCAGATTGTCTCTGGATCCCGAGATAAAACCATTAAGTTGTGGAACACTTTGGGTGTGTGCAAATACACGGTGCAGGTAAAGTGCAGCCATGGACAGAGGGCATGTGTTCAGGTTCTCTCTCCCCTTCCTCCTTAATCTTTGCCTTAAGTGGGGATTTTAAGTCTTATCAGGAAATTAAAGAGATCTGTTGACATCAGAGGGCTCTCACTTGGTGGGGTGAGGGGGTGGGGTGTGTTGTCTAGAGTTTCAATGGGCAGGACTATTTTCCCTTACTTTCTTTCCATTCTCTAGGATGAGAGCCACTCAGAGTGGGTGTCTTGTGTCCGCTTCTCACCCAACAGCAGCAACCCTATCATTGTCTCTTGTGGCTGGGACAAGCTGGTTAAGGTGAGCTTTGAGTCAGGGCGTGGGACCTTTACCAGCCAGAATGTGCTCCTATAGGCTCCAACTTGGAAGGCTTTGTAGATACCTTCAGTTCAACTTATTTCCTCTTCTGTGTCTGAAGTAACTAATGTTCTCATAGGTCACCACACAGCTTTTGGTACTTACCTTAATCTCAGTTGTCCTTAAGTGGTCAAGGCAAGTTCTTTAACCTTTTTTTTTTTAGTTACATATGGGATGATAAACGGGTATTCAATCCAGGAATACTTTTTAAACAAGGTGCTGCACTTTTTTTGTTGGGCCCAAATCCTAGATCTGCCTGATCCAGAACTAGGCTCCTCACCTGTCAACCCTCTCCATTCATGTAGGTGTGGAATCTGGCTAATTGCAAGCTGAAGACCAATCACATTGGCCACACCGGCTATCTGAACACAGTGACTGTTTCGCCAGATGGGTCCCTCTGTGCTTCTGGAGGCAAGGTATTTTGGAGCCGGAAGTCTTCCTACTTAATAGGGTGTGGTATCATGAGAAGAATACTTGTCTTTAGCTAACATAAGATAAAAAGACAGATTAATTGAAGAATTAGTCGGGTTGATATAGGAGGATAATGAGATAGCAATCCAAGAATAGGTTCCTGATCATTGGTTTCTGGAAATGACATAAAGTCATACTGTTTAAAAGAAAAAGACTGTTTTCTCTAAAGTTGTGTTTCTTAGAGTAATTGACAGCCTCTCAAGAGTGTTAGGATTGCAGGCCCTGAGCCACCTAGTTAACTGTGCTGGCTCTTGTAGGATTGGTGAGGTGTCCTGCATTAAAGGAAAGGCATACAGAAATAAATATTGGTCCTGGGATCATTAGCCTTCAAGAGGCTCGGGGTACAAAGAATGGATTCTGACAGAATTTTGAGATGGGTAGAATTGACATCTGGAAGAGGTTGTGCTGCCCTGACTCACCCTACCTGTCTGTCTAGGATGGCCAGGCCATGCTCTGGGACCTCAATGAAGGCAAGCACCTTTATACGCTAGATGGTGGGGACATCATCAATGCCCTGTGCTTCAGCCCCAACCGCTACTGGCTGTGTGCTGCTACGGGCCCCAGCATCAAGATTTGGGTGAGTGTGGGCTGTGGTTCAGACTGAGTGCCTGGTATACAGGGTGAGCCTAGGCAGTGTTGTGGTCACTGGATGCCGTCTTGACTCCCAGCTAGGAGCCATGCTTCCTGAGTAAGTGGCTAACCTTCACCTGTCGGTAGAGAGCCAGCAAGGTTTCTGTTTCCTAGTTGGGATTTGGAGTGCTGGATGTCCATGTGTAGCAGCTTACTTGGCCTCAGTGTAATTGGCATTTTGGTCTGGATAATCCTTTGTTGTTTAGTGATGTTCTGTGCCCTTCAGGGTGTTACTCATCTCTATCTAGCATGTGCCCTTGAGATGCAGTAACAAACCATTCTTTCCTTCCTAACAGTGGCAACTAAAAATGCCTTATAGGCATAGCCACCTTTCCCCTGTGGGCAAAATCAGCCTCTTAAGACTCTTGAGTTGTAGAAGGGCTTCAGAGAGAGAACCTCTGTCCTGGGTAGAAGTGTGGTTAAGACTGTTTTTTTTTTTTTTTTTTTTTTTTTTTTTATTTTTTTTGAGACAGAGCCTCAAGCTGTCCCCCTGGGTAGAGTGCCGTGGCATTACAGCTCACAGCAACCTCCAACTCCTGGGCTCAAGCGAGTCTCCTGCCTCCGCCTCCCAAGTAGCTGGGACCACAGGCGCCCGCCACAACGCCCGGCTATTTTTTGGTTGCAGCCCTCATTGTTGTTTTTGGCGGGTCCGGGCTGGGGATTCGAACCCGCCACCTTAGGTGTACGTGGCTGGCGCCTTAGCCAGTTGAGCTATAGGCGCCGAGCCAAGACTGTTTTTCCAGGGGGGGCGCCTATGACTCAAAGGAGTAGGGCGCTGGCCCCATATACCGGAGGTGGTGGGTTCAAACCCAGCCCCAGACAAAAACTGCAAAAAAAAAGTGTTTTTCCATATTGCCCTGTTCCCAGGACTTAGAGGGCAAGATCATTGTAGATGAGCTGAAGCAAGAAGTAATCAGTACCAGCAGCAAGGCAGAGCCACCTCAGTGCACCTCTCTGGCATGGTCTGCTGATGGTCAGGTAAGTGATCTGCTCTTTCATGACGCCAACTTTTGTCCCTCTTTGTGTCTTTGGTTTTTGTTTTGAGATGGAGGCCTTTATCTGTTGTTAAAGCCTGGAGTTCAGTGATCTGATAATGTAACCACCTACTCTTTGGGCTTAAGTGATCCTCCCACTTCAGCCTCCTAAGTATGTGGGGCTACAGGTACTATGTCCCCCAGCTTGCCTCCCTCTCAACTGTTAGTGTGCCAGGCACAAGAGCAATATATTTCATATAAAGTAAATGACAAGATTAGCCAGGTTGTAGTACGACCTAGTTAACCATGTCAGTGTGTTTCTGACCACCCAGAGAGAAGGTTGTGATGTAGAGGGCAGTTGTTATCACCCTTCAGTTTATACCTTGATTCATTTGACCACTTTTTAAATGTCAGGATTCTCAACACTGGCTGTTTCTTCCTCTAGAAATATGTGATCACCATCTACAGCCTGGTAGTTAGAATTGTGGGCTTCTTTCTTTTGAAGTGATGGGAGAAAAAGAAAGGCCTTTACTGACACTAGGGGAACTGCAGAATTCATGGCTGACCTATTACTGTCTTTTCTCTCCTGTAGACTCTGTTTGCTGGCTACACGGACAACCTGGTGCGAGTGTGGCAGGTGACCATTGGTACTCGCTAGAAGTTATGGCACAAATAAAAAACTGGTTTGTCTGACTTCTGGAAAAATTTTTTTCTCCAATAAAGAGGCTCCATCCTGTCTACATTGCTTACAGATTAAGAAGTTTAACATTGAGACACTGGCAGCCTGGAAGTTAGGGGATGAAACTTGATGATAAAGTAAACAGGGCTTTGGGGTAAAAATGTCGGTTTGTATGTACATTTTCTTAGGGTTTGGGTGCATTGGATGTGACATTATGGGAGGTCAGTTTCCCAAACCTGCACTGTCCTACATTCCAGTACAATTGACCTACCTGAAGCTTAGGGAAGCTTTTTTTTGAGATAGAACCTCAAGCTGTTGCCCTGGTTAGAGTGCTGTGGCATCACAGCAACCTCTGACTCCAGGGCTCAAGTGATTCTCCTGCCTCTGCCTCCCAAGTAGCTGGGACCACAGGCACCTGGCACAAATGCCTGGCTACTTTCTTGGTTGCACCTATCATTTGGTGGACCCAGGTTGGATTTGAACCTGCCAGCTCAGGTGTATGCAGCTGGGGCCTTAGCTGCCTGAGCCACAGGCACCGAGCCTAAAAGATGCAGAGCCTCAAGCTGTCACCCTAGGAAGAGTGCTGTGACATCACGCTCAGCAACATCCAACTCCTGGGCTTAAGCAATTCTCTTGCCTCAGCCTCCCAAATTGCTGGGACTACAGGCACCTGCCACAAAATAATTTTTTGGTTGCAACCATTGTAGTTTGGCAGGCCTGGCTAGATTTGAACCCGCCAGCTCAGATATATGTGGCTGGCACCTTAGCCGCTTCAGCCACAGGTGCCAGCCAGGGAAAGTTCTTGCATGAGAGGGACCATTTCAACATGGTTGCAGTGAATTTAGGACTAGTAAGCTCCTGAAAATGTCCTGTAATTTCTTGGGGCTTAGATCAAAATGGAGTAATATGGGATGTTTGGGGGGTAGGTTTTAATCTTCAAGGCAAGCAAAGTCTAAGAAATGGTGCTTAATCACTTTTTATAAGTCTATGAATAATTAGATTATAAGTTCTGAATGGTCTAGGAGCATTTTCATAATCAAAACTGGCCCTTCCAAACAGTTGGGTCAGCCTTCACCTTTTAGTCATAATTAAGGATGAATGCCTTATGAACAACTAACTGCCATGTAATTTTAGATTTCAGCCAGACATGAGTGGAATAGCCCTAATACTTGGTTGAGAGGCACAGTACTTGAGTCAAACTACTGTACTGGATTAAAGGTCTGTATTGTGCCCTACTTTCCAGGTTTCTCAGTGGTCTTCAGGCCTTTGGCCTGTTTCAGCAGATAATACCACCTATGTCCTGACAATGATGTTCCAAGGATTTGCCTGGGCTTACGAGTTAGGTGTATGGAGATTCTTCAGGAGCTTCAGTTCTAAAACTTACAAGCTCTGGTACAAGGGAAATGGTAAAATCAAGAGAATGCTGAACGGTCCAGGAAAGAAACTAGGTGCAAAGTATTCAAATAAGAGGGGGTAGATAATTTACAATCCTTGATAATGCCTGATGAAATGAGACTAACCAGTTCTCTGTTCATGCTTCTCACTGGAGGGATAGGCTTGCTCTGGGTAAGTTTGAATTGAGTACAGCTTGTTCCTGCTCATCTAGAGGAACGGACTCAACAAAAGAAGCAAATAAACATTTTATTCCACAACACAACCCACCTTCCCTTTTCCCCAAGAACATGAGTTTACCTCAGCCATCAAAGCAGAGGACAAAAGCTGACAAGTGACAAGGCAAGGGATTATTAGAAAAATAGATTATGCCCAAGCTCTCCTGGGGACCCAAACCCCTGTCCCCAGGCTCCCCTTCAGGGCTTGCCAAATGGAACTAAAGGCATGGGGAGCGGCTGGAAACAGAAAAGCCAACTCCATTTGAATAAAAGGGGGAAAAGGAGCCTGGCAGTTAAAACACCTGGAGGGGTGTAAGATGGAAAGAGCTTTCTTTGCTCCTAGGTTAAGTGCTGGCAAAGGGAAGGGGGAGAAAATAATTTATTGGGTGATGTAATGGTATGTAGTTTCGATCATGGCGACCATTCCAGATCTCTCACTGAAGCTAAATTCTGGCCGGTCTATGGAGGTAGAAATTGGGGATGGAAGGAAAAGTTTAGAATCCTTCCTTCCCCAGGAGAGTAGACTTTTTTATTTCCCAGCTCTACCCTTTGGCCCAGCCTGCCTCCCCCAAACAGCTTCCAAATCTCTTAGCTAAAATTTGTTATCAGAAAATGGAATTTGAACAGGGATGTTGTTGAGTCTTGGCCAAACCCTCCAGCCCTAGAATTGACATCAAGGTTGAAGAGTTGGGGTGGGGAAAAGGAAGTTAGGGAATGAATTACTATCTCCCCTTTTCCCTTCCTCAGACCCCAGGTCAGGGTAGGGCTGGGCTGGGCTGGGCTGGGCTAGGCAAACATGGAGGGAAGGCCAGGCAGCTGTTCTCGTTATCAGGGACCCATGCAGACCTGTTGGACAGACAGGAGGTGAGAGAAGGCCGAGCTGGAGGCCAGGAGGGTTCTTTAGGCTCCTAGAGGGAGAAGCAGGGGCCTGGGGTCAAGGGGGAGCGGGAAGCATAGCAGTAACAAACAGTGGGAGGAGCCTTTGGGCCCCCAAACTTAAATGGGCCACCTTCCACCACCACCCGTCCCCCTAGTGCTGACTAGAGGGGCCCCCACGGGTGGCAGGCTGATCAAGGGCAGAGCTTGATTCGGGTACCCTTTGACAGCACCCGAAAGAAGGGGAAGACTCGCTCGCCCAGGAAGGCAGCTGAGAAGGTGTGCACATGGGCTAGAGTCTCTGCATTGTAGAAGCCTAGGCGCCCAGCCTCATAGTCCAGGTACACGCCAAAGCGGCGAGGTTTCTCGCTTGGGCTTAGTACTGTCTGCTCTGTTGAGCTCTGTGCCTGATAGCGTTTGCCGTTGGTGCCCACACACCATACTTCCCGCTGGAGCAGGGGCTGCTGGGGCAGGTGGAGCCGGCGGCGGCGATGGTGATGGCGTGAGGAGCTGGCATCACCGCTGCCCACAGAGGACCCCCCAGAGCCCACCTTTTCCTTATGATGGGTTGATTCACGGGCAGCGCCCACCGCCCAGCCCCGCCGCCCTCCCACCTCTACCTCCCAGTAGTGCCGGCCAGAGCGGAAGCCCTGGGCCCCCAGTACGCAGCAGTCAGCCGAGAAACGCTTGGGATGGTCAGCAACCTCTTGCCGCCGCTCTGCTAGGCGGACCCCCCGGCGGTCAGGAGACAGCATCAGGGCCGGGTGAGCCGTGTCTGGGTCCAACGTCAGGTCCACTTGGGAGGAGGGGAGGAGAAATATGCCCAGACTGGAACAACTGTTCCCCATCAGCAGCCAACTCCACAGATTCAGCCTTGCCTGCTGTCCATCCCACCTGCCCCTTATCCAGCTCCCCTTGGCTCCTCACACCACCCTAAAGGATGGCCCCAGGTTCCTATGGTCTCCATCTGTCTCTTTACTCTTGCTCCCAGGACACCTGGCAGGTCTGCCCACTGGCTCTGGCTCTTCTTGCCACACCACTGTCTCAAAACTACCCGAGCTAGGACCAACAACCCTTGGCTAGAAACCTTAGATTAGCTGCTCCATCCTGGTTCCCCATACTGCCCCCGGGGCCCAACTTCCCGCAGGACCCAATCTCAGGTGTGTGAAGGGAAAAAAGGCAAAGGAAGGTCGTACAGGTGACCTCCCTACCTCTCGCAGCCTGACAGAACATCCGGCTCATTTTCCTCACGATGGCATCTGTTAGGAAGTCATGGCTATGGGGTTGGCACGGGTCAGGGGACCAGACCTCTGGGGGCTGCCGCTGTACCTCTTCACACCTGGAGGAAGGGGATGGGGCAGGGGGTGGGACCATGATATTCCCAAAGAAAAGAGCAGAAGCTGGGGGAAGGAGAGGAGGGTCCAGGAGGCAGAAACTCAGGTCCTGGGAAAGGAAGGAGAGGAGAGGGATACCCAAGAGAGGCAGGGATGGGCAACCAGATGCCACTGGGTCACAAAGGGTAAAGAGTGGGAACACACCTATTGAAAGTCTCCTTGATGTCCTGGGAATAACAGAAACAAAAAGAGGGAGAGGGAGAAAGAGACAAAGAAAGTGTCAGCTGCACAGAGACAGCTCCTTTCCCCCAGTCTCCAGCCAGAGAAAGGACTGAACTTGAACAGAAGGGAGAAGCAGCACCCTCAAGGCCCTCAAAAAACATGTATCCTTCTCAAGCACCCTTTGTCTCATCACACCTAACTCATCTCACTTGCTGTAGGCCCCAAATAATATTTTCAGAGTATGACTTCTCAACCCTCATTTGCCCTACAACTCTACTTTCCTGCCTTTCATTGGGTTGTCACACAGACCACATGGACATTAACTCTGTCTCCAGCCTCAAAAAATGTTTTTGGTCTTCAGATTAAACTATTGTGGGTTTTTCCCAGTGAGAAAACAGGCAGCTCTGGACAGGCGTCTAGTAAGTACTGCCTGACAGAGCCACATAGGGTGCTAGGGGAGATGAGGGTGGTGGGGGAACAGGGAGGGGGAAGGGGGGGGACAGTGCTCACCTGGAGCAACCGCAGGCCCCCCTGCTGGCTCCGCTCCTGGGCTTCTGTCAGCAGGCGGCTCAGCTGGGCAGCCTGCTCTGCAAGCCGGCTGGCTGCCGCACCTGCACGCCCCAGCTGGACTTCATGCATTTCTCGGAGGCGCCGCTCCAACCCTGCCTGTTCTTCAGCCAGAAACCGTGTCAGACGCCCAAACTCTGAAGCCACAGCTGCCAGCTCTGATTTCATCTGGCTCTGGAATGATGCAAAGGGGATGATAGATACCACCTCAACACTCAGGAAGATAAACTTCTAGCTTTGTACCTGCTGCCTCTCAATCCAAGTAAAGGAGCACTGCATTCTCCGAGTCCAACAAAGACCTGGGAGTGGGAAGAAGCCCCATCTCCTTTCCTACCTCCTGGCCTTACCAAGTACCACCAAATTCACTGGTACCAAATTCACAAACCTTTGCCTGGAAGACGTCTCTCCATCTGGCCTACCTACTTTGACTCACCCTTCAGGTCTAAGCTTAAATATTCCTAGAGGAGCCTTCCCTCCCCACTACAGATCTAAATCAGGATCATCTCCATAAATACCACCATATCTCTTCATGGCACACAAAACACTGGAATGCTGTGTTTACACTGTAATATCTTTTAACATTTTCCCCAGCTACAGCATAAGCTCCCGCTGGCAGGGACTGGGAATGTCTTTGTTTGCCATAGTGTCCTTGGATTCTGGCATAGCACCAACTAGAGTAGGCACAGGTAAGAATTTTGGAAATGGGCTTGGTGCCCATAACACAGTGGTTAGGGCACTGGCCACATGCACCGGGGCTGGTGGGTTTGAACCCAGCCAGGGCCTGCTAAACAACAATGACAACTACAACAAAAAAATAGCAGGGCATTGTGGCAGGCGCCTATAGTCCCAGCTACTTGGGAGGCTGAGGCAAGAGAATCACTTGAGCTCAAGAGTCTGAGTTTGCTATGAGCTGTGACGCCATGGCATTCTACTGAGGGCGACATGGTAAGACTGTCTCAAAAAATAAAAAATAAGAATTTTTGAAATGAAATGAATATATGATTCAGGAATTAAAACATGAAGTTAGGGTCCTGACTATACCTCTAGTCACAGTGACTCTGGTTAAGTCATCTAAACCCCCTAGATGAGGGATCACCAAACTTTTTTTGTGAAGTTCCAGATGGTGAATATTTTATGCTTTTTGGGCCAAGAGGTAAAATCAAGGGTATACAGGTACTTAATATCCTGTAACAGAAAACACTTCTGTCCAGTCCCACTCCATTTGCCTGGTCTGGGCCATCCTGGGTGGTAGTCAGACATTTTTTATCATGTTACTACCAGCTGCAGACATTCTCTGGACAAAGAGTAACAAATAGGTCAGAGTGGGTTGGTGGTCCTGGCTAGCCAGGAGTGAGGGAAACAGCCACAAGTTTCACTCTCTGCCCCAGTGACACTCAGATGCTAGCACATTTTTCTCTGTACCCCAAAGAGTCCAAAAGCATCAACTTGGTCAGCTGGCCAAAGGCAGGATGACCACCCTGCTCCTAGGCTCAGATTCTACCACTCAGTGCCTGGCAGAGTCCTCTTTTTTTTGAGACAGAGCCCCTGGGTAAAGTGCCGTGGCATCACAGCTCACAACAACCTCCAACTCCAGGGCTCCAGCAAGTGTCCTGCCTCAGCCTCCCAAGTAGCTGGGACCATAGGCACCTGCCACAATGCTCGGCTATCTTTTGGTTGTAGCTGTCATTGTTGTTTGGTGGGCCCGGGCTGGATTTGAACCCGCCACCTTAGGTGTATGTGGCTGGCGCCTTAGCCACTTGAGCCACAAGCACCGAGCCCCTCAAACTTTTTAAACAGGGGGCCAGTTCACTGTCCCTCAGACCATTGGAGGGCCGGACTGCGGGCCCCGGGACAAGTCAGCAGCTAAGCAGGATGGGCAGTCCTAGGTGGGCTGCATGTGGCCCGCAGGTCATAGTTTGAGGATGCCTGCCTTAACATGTAGGTAGTGATGAGCATAAGCCCTGGGATGGCAAAGCCCAGCCAATGGTCAGGGAGGCAAGTGCCAGAAGGGAAGAGGGACAAAAGAGGATGTGCTAGTTTGGTCTCTGAAACTCACGGTGCCAGCGCATTTCAACAGGTGCAAACATTGAAGAAAATATCCAAAAAAGACTCCTTGGGAATAGCTGAGCAATAATGAAGAGAAGAGCTGCGAAACACTGGACTATGATAGTCTCTGCAATGCTAATATTCACTAATTCCTCCCTCCTACCAAAGATGCTTGGGCTCGTCCTCAGTCAGAGCAAGAGGTCCCAAGACAACACTCCTCTCACTCTCAGGCTGCTCTGCCACCGCCAGCATCTGTTCTGGGACCCAGGAGCTTCTCTGATGGCTGCTATGGAGATCTGCCTTGCCTTCTTAAGGCTCTGGGTTGAGGTATCCAGGTAGAAAGCCTTGGGCCAACACCTGACCCCCCCCACCCCCCCAGTCTAGGCCTTAGTTTATACTCTCCATTTTGGAACCTAGGAACCAACATGCCTCCTGACCCTCAAGGCCCTCCTTTCCACAGGGCCTGGAGACGATTTCTACCCCACTCACAGGTGTGGGACCTCTGCAGGGGACCTAGTCACCACTTGTGAGAGTGGGCTGCCCTACCTTCCTTCCCTAACCACAGGATCAGTCAGCCCTTACCAGGGATACTTGCCTACCTTCAGCTCTGTCACCCTCCTCTCCTCCTTGGCCTTCATCTTCTGCACAGCCTCCAGGTGCTTCCTCAGAGGCTCCACGTGGCCCTGTAGTTTGGCCTGAGGGAATGGGAAATGAAAAGTTAGACAATGGGGGCTGGGAGAGGCAACGGCTCCTTCAGAGCCCACCTCTCTAATCCTTCCTATAGCAGGTTGGGGCTCAAAGCCTGATACCCACAGCACTGGTATCAAATGACCATCATACTCCCTCTTCCCCTTTCTTCTTCCAGCAGGGGCCTCCAAACCTCCCTGTATTGACATGAAGAAGCCTTGTGGTAGTCTCTAAAGGTGGGATCCTTAAGACTAGAGAGCCCCACACTCAAAGTTGGGGTGGACATGACTTGAGCCCTCACCATACTGAGTTTTTCCATACCAGTGTCCCCGCCATTGGTCCCTGCCCTCTCATAGTCAATCTTCCCCATGATTTTCATCTCTAAATACTTCTCTGATGATTTTGTGCTTGTGCTAAAAATCCTTCCTCCTGACGCCCCAAGGACCTCCCTCCTCTTAGGACCTACAGAAACTGACTACCCCTTTCACAGATCTTTGCTGTCTCCTCTTCAGGGGACCTAGACACCACTTGTGAGATGGACAGCTCTACCTTCCTTATCTGACGACAGGAACAGCCAGTGGTCCTGACCACTTTTAAGATATCAACCCTCCACTTCTGGCCTTATCTCCTGAACCCACAACTTCCACACAGACTCTTAGGTTTAGCCACAGAAAACTACTTGCTGTTTCCTCAGTACAATCCTATGTGTTCCCTCTGCCTCAGACTGGCCTTCTCCACTTGGTCCAAAGTACTCTTCTCCTAAAACCCAGCTCCTTGACCACAGCTCTGACCCTCCCCACCTCCCAACTTCCTCTGTGATCCCAAGGAATATCAAATAAAATGTATACACTACCCTCATACCAATAATCGATAAGTGTGCCTCCCCCAGGACACTGTGGAGTCCCTGCCCCCACTTATTTTAATTTCTGTAGTTTTCTCTGCCCACCTGCTTTCTCTTCCATGCTGTTATTTGCTAAAAGGAACACAAAAACAAAAACCCTCTCAGAATTCCTAAAGTTATAACTTTCACAGCCAACAGGATGTAAGCTCTGTGTTCCAACAATGTTTACCCAAATCTTTTTCTTTAAAGGACTGTTAGAGACCAGAATAGGTGAAATAAGCCCTGACTTGCTCTTTTCCTTTGTATGTCTTACACTGGCCTTTCTCCCTCTTTTTCCTTGAGGAATACTAGGGAGAAGAGCTCAAGCCTGGACCCAGTGAGGTGACCTGAGGCTGGCCATGCTTCCAGTTTCCTCAGCTTAGAGTGAGATCAGCATCAGTACATGTTATCCAGTGTTTAATCTAGGCTTTAAGCTGCCAGTGACATCCTGATAATAACCCTTGCCCTAAAGAGGTTATTGATCAGGGTAGAAAAGACAGTTGTTGCACAGGATAAGTGGTCATAGAAAAAAATTACAGTAATAGTGAAATTACAGTCAATCCAGAATATGAAAATAGCATATATTACACAAAATATAACCGTTTTTTTTCTTTTTTTTTTAAAGAGACAGAGTCTCACTTTATCACCCTTGGTAGAGTGCTGTGAAATCACAGCTCATAGCAACCTCAAACTCCTTCCTGAGCATAAGCAATTCTCTTGTCTCAGCCTCCCAAGTAGCTGGGACTACAGGCGCACACCAGAACGCCTGGCTATTTTTTTGTTGCAGTTTGGCCAGGGCCGAGTTCAAACCCACCACCTTCGGTATATGGGGCTTGCGCCCTACCCATTGAGCCACAGGCACCGCCCACAAAATGTAACCTTTTGATAATACTTTCTATTTGTCTAGGGTCAATTTCTACTCCATTAATTCAGAATCTATGTTTAAATTTACCATTTAATATTTTTCCTAAATCGCTGACAAAAAAATTCATTAGCAAAAATACAAATACAGTAATATTTAATAAAAAAATTTCAAGGAAATTTGTTTAAGAGGTTTATTTATATACTATTTGTGTATAAAGAAATATTTCTACAAAACAATACTGTATATCAAGCCAGTGCTTGCTAGTATATGTATCTGAAAAGAATGAAACAGGCCAGATGTGGCGGCTCACACCTCTAATTCTAGCATAGCCAGAGGATCCCTTGAGCTCCAGAGTTTGAGACAGCCTGAGCAAGAGGGAGACCCTGTAATTCACCTCTAAAAAAACAAAACAAAACAAACAAACAAAAAAATTAGCCAGGCATTGTGGTGGGTACCTGTAATCCCAACTACTCAAGAGGCTGACATAGGAAGACTGCTTCCTAATCACAGTCTGAAGTTGTTGTGAGCTAGGCCTGGACGAGAGTAAGACTCTGTCTTCAAAACAAAACAACCAACCAACCAACCAACCAACCAAACAAAAAATACATATATACTACCTGCCTATAAAATAGCCCAAAAGTAGGCCAGTCCCAGTAGCTCAGACCTGTAATCCTAACTCTCTAGGAGGCTGAAGTGAATGGAATATTTGAGCTCAGGAGTTTGAGACCAGCCTGATCAAGAGTGAGACCCCATCTTTACTAAAAATAGAAAAATTATGCTTGGCACCTGTAGCTCTAGTGCCTAGGGCACCAGCCACATACACCAGAGCTGGTGGGTTAGAATCCAGCTGGGCCTGCCAAACAATGACAACTATAACCAAAAAATAGCTGGGCATTGTGGTGGGCTACTTGGGAGGCTGAGGCAAAAGAATCGCTTATGCCCAAGTTTGAGGTTGCTGTAAGCTGTGATACCAGGGCACTCTACCCAGGGTGACAGCTTGAGACTCTGTCTAAAAAAAAAAAAAAGAATGAAAAATTAGCTAGGTGTTGTGATGGATGCCAGTAGTCCCACTACTTGATAGGCTGAGGGAGAAGGCTCACTTGAGCCCACAAGCTTGAGCTTGCTGTGAGTTATGATGCCACTGCACTCTATCAAGGGCGTCAAAGTGGGACTCATCCAAAAAAAAAAAAAAAAAAGCCTAAGGCCAGGTGTGGTGGCTCATACCTGTAATCCTAGCACTCTGGGAGGTCGAGGTAGATGAGATTGCTTGAGCTCACAGGTTCAAGACCAGCCTGAGCCAGAGTGAGATCTCATTTCTATAAATAGCTGGGCATCGAGGCAGGCACCTGTAGTCCCAGCTACTCTGGAGGGTGAGATAAGAGAATAGGCTGAGCCCAAGAGTTTGAGGTTGCTGTAAGCAATAACGCCACAGCACCCTACTGAGGGCAACAAAAGTGAGACTCTGTCTCAAAAAAAAAAAAAAAATAGCCTAAAAGTCACTCAATTTACTTCTATATAATAAAACTTACATTTTACATTTGCTGATCAGTTAATGTCAAGATTAAGTATGTGTATCTGGCGTCACAAATTGGAGAGCCCAGTAATTAAGAAAAGGGATTAAGAGTTCTTTTAATTCCTCACCCACTTCAGAACCTAAATAATACAAGATTTCCAGCCAGCATTCAACAACTTTGTCTAATCCAAATTAAAATCCAGTTAAGGATGGCGCCTGTGGCTCAAAGTGGTACACCGGCCCCAAATACTGGAGGTGGTGGGTTCAAACCTGGCCCAGCCAAAACCTGTAAAATCCAGTTAAAAGAGCTTTTGACAAGTCCGTATCAAGGTAAACAGTGAAACCCCCATGGGTAGTCTACCCCCAGTTCCAGTTAACAAAGTAAATGCACATGATATGATAGTTATGTTAATTTGGAACCAAGGGGATATAAAAGGGGAAGGAAAAAACAGAGCTCACAACTTCCACTAAAAATGTGGGCCTAGGCTGGGCAAGATGCTCACGCCTATAATCCTGCCCTCTGGATGGCCAACATGGGTGGATCCCTTGAGCTCAGGAGTTTGAGACCAGCCTGAGCAAGAGTGAGACCCTGTCGTCTACTAAATATAGAAAAAGTAGCTGGATGTTGTGGCGGGTTCCTGTAGTCCTAGCTACTTGGGAAGCTGAGGCAGGAGGATCACTTGAGCCCTGGAATTTGAGGTTGCTATGAGCAATGACACCATAGCACTCTACCCAGGGCAACAGAATGAGACTCTGTCCAAAAAAAATAAATTAAAAAAAAAAAAGGGGGAAGCCTAACAGGCAGTCAAGTGATTCCCAGGCTAGACTGGGCTTTCTAAAGCTATTCTTACCCCTGCTGATTCACAAACTCTAATAACCCACTGTACTTTTAAAAATCTACCCTAGTAATTCCGACAATCGGCCAGGTTTTACAATCATTGTATGTAAGGAATAGTTACTTGTGGTGAGGTGATGCAAGTTTGTCTTAGCTGTGTCAGAACTGAGAAGCCACAGTCACATTACTCTAAAATTGGAGTAATCTGCTTGGCACCCATAGCTCAGTGGTTGCAGTGCCGGCCACATACACCTGGGCTGCTAAACAACAACAGCAACAACAAAAATAGCCGGGCATTGTGGCAGGCACCTGTAGTCCCAGCTCCTTGGGAGGCTGAAGCAAAAGAATCACTTATGCATGAGAGTTTGAGGTTTCACCGCATTCTACAGAGGGTGACATAGTGAAACTCTGTCTTGTCTCAAATAAATAAAATAAAATAGGTGTAATGATGATAATACCTAAATGAAATTACTGTAGGAATCAGAAGGAGTAAAAACAGTCAAAAAACAAAACAGCTTTGTGCAGCTCTCCTCCTCCTGGCCCTCATACTTTAAACCCATCCAGGCCTCCACTAAGTAGTGCCATTTGTATGTGTGCTGGCTGTCTCACAGACAGATCACCTTTATAATATATTCAAAGACAATCACAAGTAGGAGGCAAGACATTAGCCAAACCAGAATTGACTCCAACAAAAAAGGTCACAAGTCAGAAAAGTCAAACCACTACATCCAAATGGTGGTGATGTTGTTACTGTACACCAGGGAGAGGGACGGTAATAATCATCATTTAGTAATGATGTATGGCCCCACATACAATACTTAAAACCTCTGTTTCCCAGTCCGTAAAATGGAAATGTAAAGCATCAAACTCAAAGGGTTGCTCTGAGTTGTAATGACACAGTCTGTGGAAAGTGCCTATACATAAATGTCCAGTAATTATTAACTATCAATCCTGGAGAAATTCAAGTTCAAAGACATAACCAAGATTTGACAGTAAGTGCAGAGCCAGGTCTTCTGTCTCAAAAGCCCCTTTACTGGTCTGTACAGCAGAAAAATGAAGACCCAACAACGAAAGTCCTTGAGTAGAGAACCAAGCTATATGATGGGAATGGGTGGGGAAGTTAGTGGGAAGCAAGCACAGGGCCTTTGAGTCTCACACTAGTACTCATTTCTATGCTACTGCTCAGAGCCCTTCCTTGTCCTCTGAGGGCCCCAGTTCTTTCTATCTCTACTTGTCTCAGTCAAACACCTAGCAGAAAATGAGACTGAGGGTGAAGCTCTAGGGACCTGTCACTTGCACTCTAACACTCTGGGGACAGTGGAAGTGTGAAACAGCAGTAGCTTGCTCCTGGGAAGATGAAACCCAGTGATCTGGCATCACTGGCTTTCAGCTATTCGCTTTGAGGAAGCCACCTTTTTCTGATCTTCTTAGTCTGCATTCTAACCCACCTTGACACCCGTAGTGCTTAGTTAAGGAGAATCAGCTCACTAGTAGAGGAGGTTCTTTGGGGGACCCCGGGTTCCTTACATTCTGTCCACCCCACTAAAGTCCCATCTTCTCACTTGACTTCTCTCACCTTGTACTCCTGCACCACTTCCTCCAAAGGCACCACGCTGTGCTGTTTGTGGCTCCTAGACTCCCGACACACCACACAGATGGCCTCTTCGTCCACCTCACAGAAGAGTTTCAGGGCTTCTTGGTGTTTGGGACAGATGCCCTGCTCATTCACACGGCTCCCTCGACCGGGGGTCGGGTGCATCTGTCGAATCACCTGGACCATGTTGGCCAGCTGCAAGTTGGGGCGGAAGCTCCGCCGAGGAAAGCTCTTTCGGCACTGCGGGCAGGTGAAGCACCTCCGAGGGGCTGGAGGCGGAGGCAGTGGGGTGACGGGGTCTAGCTCTTCTTCCTCGTCCTCCTCCAGCACTTCCTCCTCGTCCTCTTCATCCTCTCCCCCCAGGTCCTCCTCCATGTCCTCAAAGTAGTAGTCCAGGTCTTCTTCCTCGTCCTCCTCCTCCCACACGTAATCCATGTTGTCCCAATTGGACCCGCCCATGCCACTGGTCCAGAAAACACCCTCCTCTTCCTCCTCGACCTCCTCCTCCATGTCGCCCTCGTAGTCTTCATCTCGCATAGGGGTGTCCCACCCCCCGCCGGCTCCCACAGCCTCCACTTCCTCTTCTTCACCGTCCTCCTCCTCCTCCCGGTCTAACTCTTCCCTGTCCTCCTCATCCTCCCCGCCCCACAACTGGGTTACACACACTCGGCAGAAGTTGTGCCCACAGCCGATGGATACGGGGTCGGTGAAGTAATCGAGGCAGATGGCGCACACCGCCTCCTCCTGAAGGGTCTGCACAGGGTTGGGTGTCATGGCAACGGCAGCCATCTTAGTGTCCAGTCAGCCAGTGTAGATGTGCGGTGGGGGGGTGGGGGCGGGGGGGTCTTCCCTCTCAGACGCCCTGGCGACCCGGCCCCACCCCCAGCCCTGGCTTTCCACACCTCGCTTCAAGCGCTGCCAGAGAACGTCCTCCCGACAACCCACTCTTCCACACAAGAGTTCCCTACTCCCAAACGAAAATCGTGTCTCTGCGAGGGGAGGGGACAGAGCTGAGCGCCACCGCCAGGCCCCTCAGGCGGCCTTGAGTGCAAATCTGCCCTAACGCTACCTTGGCCTCCTCATAAACCCCCGCCCCACCTCACTTCCTGGCCCCGCCCCTGGCTTCCGGCCTCGCTCCCAACACTTCCGGCGTCTGCACGCCGTCCAAGCTTGCGAGTTCCCTTTGCGCTCGTGCGACGCCCCCTTCTTCCCCGCCGGGCCCCAGGGCGACAGGAAACCGCGAGGAGACGCTCTAGCCGGCACTTGGGAGCAGGGCGGATAGGCTAGGACGGTGGAGGCCCACGTCTCTGTGATGCAGGGCAGCTGGGAATGCAGCAGACACCACAGAAGGATCGCCCACCCCCATCCCCCGCCACTTGGGACAAACTTCGGCGAGCTGTGGGGGCATTTGGTGGCTGTCTGCTTTTGGTGCTATGACTGCATCGTCCTGGCGCCATCCTACCGATCAGACACGAATGACTGCAGCAGGGACTCCCTACAGCTGGCGCCGGAAGCGGAGGGGAGGGCCTCTGAGAACACTGAAGTTCTTCCTGCCCTTTTTAACGGCGGACTTCGTGGTTGAGGACCCTTGAGTCCCTCTGAGTGTGTTAGAGGCGGGGCCGGGGACTTCCCAACTTCCCCCAACTTAGTTGGCATTTCCACACCTAGTTTAGAAATTGTCAATCGGTTGCTGTCAGGTTGTTCGGATGAACTTTCCAGACTACCCATCAATAAAGGAATAGTGACAAGTCAAACGCTTTAGCTGTAAAGAAGGATTCTTCAAGATGCATTCCCAAGTAAAAAAAAAAAAAAGTAGAAGTTGAAGTAGAGTATACTCGAACTGTGGAAAAAAGAGGGAGGGCGTTATAACTGTTTGATATGTCTATATGTTTACTCACATAAGGATAATAGTTCCCACCTTGGAGTGTTTGAATTTGTAAAAATTCAAGTTAATGAGCTGGGCCCGGTGGCTCATGCCTTCAATCCCAAGCACTCTAGGAGGCCGCGGCGGGAGGATCCCTTGAGCTCAAGAGTTTGAGACCAGTCTGAGCAAAATAGGAAAATTAGCTGGCCTTGATAGTGAGCACCTGTAGTCCCAGCTACTTAGGAGGCTGAGGCAAGAAAATCGCGTAAGCCCAATAGTTTAAGGTTGCTGTGAGCTGTGACGTAACAGCACTCTACTGAGGGCGACAAAGTGAAACTCTGTCTCAAGTCACATAAACCGATTAGAACGTTGTCTAGCACGTAGAGCCACATAGGAGTTTGCTACCCTTTATTATCATCATCGTCTGTGGCAGAATACTTGCAGCAGTGTTTTGGGGAACGCTGAGACTCGGGGACAGGAAAGACACTTTTGCGTATATGTCGTTCCGTAGCCTTTGAATTTGGAACCTAGCCAGTGTACATCTAAAGACAAGAAAGAAGGCTCAGCGCCCATAGCTCAGTGGCTAGGGCACCGGCCAAATACACCAGGGCCGGCCAAATACACCAGGGCTGGGGGGTTGGAACCCAGGCTGGGCCTGCTAAAGAACAAGGACAATTACAACAACAACAACAAAAATAGCCGGGCATAGTGGCGGGCTCCTGAAGTCCCAGCTCCTTGGGAGGCTGAGGCAAGAGAATCGCTTGGGCCCAAGACGTTGAGGTAGCTGTGAGCTGTGATGATACAGCACTCTAGGGAGGGCGACATAGGGAGACTCTGTGTCAGAAAAAAAAAAGAAAGAAAAAAAACTTCTTTCTGAGCTGTGCACCACTCATGCTTCGTAATAGAAATACCTCGAGGTTTGACCCCATGGAACGCCACCTTAAAAGCAGAGGCTCCAATTGGGTTAAATTGTAGGACCACGATTCTTGCACAGAATCACCACTGAGTGTGGGGAACTCCGTTATGCCGGGCCAGAGATGTAGAATTTACTCCCTCTACACGCGCTTCCCACCTCATGGGAAAACGCCAGGTGGACCCAGGTGGACCTAGCCTCTGAGGAAGTCCTATGAAACACGACAAAACAAAACCCTTGTGGCTGAACTATACCAGGCTATGCCAGAAACTACGGACTCTGCTTTGGCGCAGTCGGGCCACAGAACCTAGACGCAGCTCACCCGGTCGCTGCTGCGGTTCCCGGTCTTGCCACAACTCTGGCCTCACTTGGTCAGCACACCAAGTTTTGTGTGGCTTCAAAATGATGCCAGTGAAAGAATTTTTTCCGGTGGTTTCCGTAGTGTAGTGGTTATCACGTTCGCCTCACACGCGAAAGGTCCCCGGTTCGAGACCGGGCGGAAACAAGCTTTTGATTCAGGGAGCTCCTTACCCGCTGCCTGTCGGCGAACTGCGTCCCATGTCACACGAAGGGCAGGACATCGTCTGTTTCAGAGAGGGGGCACTTAAATAGATCCCCATTCACGGGGCAGGCCCTCCGTGAAAGCCTGAAATGTAAGTTCAAGTCTCACGCTCCACTTAACTCTTGCACTTCCCCTCGGAAGCCCGTGCGGCTACTTCTCTCCTGTCGAGGGCTGGGTGGGTTTCGAACCCTGGGCTTTAGCGCCTAGCACAGAGCAGGTCCTCAATGGGCTCACCGCAGAGCTTGTGCCACTGCCACCGAAGAGCGTGTGGCACCACTGCAGCTGAACCTTGGGTGATCTCTTGGGATACAACAAAGAGACGTTACTTTTGGGTGTCCGGCTAGCTCAGTCGGTAGAGCATGAGACTCTTAATCTCAGAGTCGTGGGTTCGAGCCCCACGTTGGGCGAGAGCTGTTTAGGAATTGATCTGGCACTTTTGTTACAACGGTAATATGGGCCTGAGCCGGTGGGTGCTGAAGCTTGGGCGACCCGGGGTGGCCTCTTGTAGGTGGGCGGAAGACCCGGCTCTGGGATGCCCACACGGTTCTATATTCCTCGCTGACTTTCGGATAATGGATGAGAGGTACTGGCGGACGAATTTCTGGAATGGATTGCAGCAAGGGCAGAATTAGCCTTTACTCAAGTTCAACACATGTTTAGGCACCTTCTGTTTACCAGACGACCTACCTGGGTGTCGAGGACTAGATGCCCTGGAGTCGGTTTACTGAAGCTAGGGTGAGATCCTAGGAACACTCCCGTAGCGATGGGAGCTGGGGAGACCAAGAAATTCGCTCTGATTTACATTTTAGAGGGATTCATTTAGGAATGTTGGAAACCAGGTCTGAGGGGACGTTACTCTGTGTCAGGGAGAGGGGCTGGAGCTTTGGGTGGATTCATAACCGAGATCAGAGGCTGAGGATGGAGGAGGGGCGGGGTACGAAGAGAAAAGTAGAGAGACCTTGAACAGTATGGGTGAGAGATGCTGAGACATCTAAAAGGACACTCCCAACACACAGGTGGACCTGAAGTTTGGGAGAGCATTCACTGCTGGAGCCAAGGTGCAGAACTAAAATGCCAGTTCATGCAATGAGCCCAATGGGACCTCCAGGGACACAAAGCCTTGGGTAGATCGAGAAGGAGGCAGCATAGGAAGAAGAACCTGCAGCGAAGCCCACCAGGACCTAGGGAATTGTGATGTGCAAGAGGGAAGAAGAGATCAGCAGAGTCAAATTCAGCACAAGGTCCAATAACAGAAGGCGGTAAAACCTCCTTGGCTTGGGCCACGTGATGACTTTGACCAGAAAACCAGACCCAAACAAGACCAGCTCCAGCCCTGAGCCCTGATGGTAGACAGGGGTGCTGGGTCACAGGCACAACAAAGAACTCAGCACCACTCAGCCTTCCTTCTGGCTCCCAAGGTATTAGGAAATCAGCGTTGGCGACAGGAAAACATTCTGCAGTATTAACCCATCCATGCTCCTCTTATATTTGCATGTACATGTACAGGTATGCAGATCTACATAGTATAACACACTTTAAACCTCATCCAACTCTGTACATACATTTAAATGACGAATTTTATTTTTATAAAAATACTTAAAAAGATTTCATTAGAAGTTTAATAAAAGTTTCAGCTTTATTTAAACTGGCTTAAACTTTGATACTCATTAATTTCTATTTTGCACTTTTTTTTTTTTTTTTTTTTGAGACAGAGCCTCAAGCTGTCCCCGTGGGTAGAGTGCCGTGGCATTACAGCTCACAGCAACCTCAACTCCTGCGAGTCTCCTGCCTCAGCCTCCCAAGTAGCTGGGACTACAGGCGCCCGCCACAACGCCTGGCCATTTTTTGGTTGCAGCCATCATTGTTGTTTGGCGGGTCCGGGCTGGGGATTCGAACCCGCCACCTTAGGTGTACGTGGCTGGCGCCTCAGCCTGTTGAGCTATAGGCGCCGAGCCTATTTTGCACTTTTTAAAAATAACTTTGCATAATTATAGCAATGCACAATTATTTCTAAAAGCATATATAAAATGATTTCATTGTTTGATTTTTACATTTACTTTAACTTACGTTTTGACAAACATTCAAATCTCCTATAATTTGGTGAATATATTGTTGCATTTTTAAAAATTTTCTCTACCATTACTGTCCTTGGAGCACAAATTATGTGAAAATTGAAACACTCTGGCTATCTTCCCTGGAAGAAAAGAGCCAATGAGGAGGCAAATCCAGTCTTAAGCCTTTGGAGCCACATTTACCTTTCCTCTTTTGTGTGGCTCACTTTTATTCCTTCTTCATTCGTTCTTTTCATTTTATTTGCTAGACGGGTCTGATCTCACTACTTGCTGAGATCACTCTCTGTAGTTTGACAAACACGGTTATGGGGCCACCAGAAGACTAATTAGGGGAAGAATGATTCCAAAGGTCGCTGGCTTATGATGGGGCCAGGGACAGGATTACTGGACGGAAGTGATGTCTAGCGGCTTTTTGAGGGTTTTTGTAGTGTGGTAGTTGTCACATTCACTTAATACTCGAAAGGTGGTCCCTTGTTCGAAACTGGGCAGAAACAGTTCTCATACCCCTTTTACAACCAAGGGAGTGTCTTCTGACCTGAAGATACTTTTACTTTAGTCATTTGCCATTGAATGTGGATATATTTAATTACATTTATGTATATTTGTAATGCCATGTATGTGGATATATTTAATTTTATTATTAAATATTATTATATTTATTATATATTATTATATATTATTAAATTTTATTATGTATA